GAAGGTGTTGACACGGAACGAACCCTTTCCGTCTCCTGCCTTTCAACATTTTCTTTACCAACCCGAGAGCAGCCAGAAGGAGCATTTGTAAGATTCAGCTGAGGAATATGGAAATCGTTATTGGGGGAAATGCGTTTTTCGCGTGCCTGTATGTGCGTGTACATACACAGAGGCTGCGTGTGCAGCGCTCCGTGAAATGTAACGTTACGCTTTAAAATTACTTAGTTTCTGTACATATTTTGTGATTGATAGTTTTTTTTGACGCGGCACTGGTATCCTGATTTAAAATGAGCTGCGTGTAAGTTTCTGTCAGTCCTTGTAGGCAGAAGTGGCGGTTTGTACCTGTGAAACTGAGCAGATGTGTACAATAGCACAGCTCCTGTCTCCTGCTCCGTGCACATCCACGCTGGAAAAGGTTTGTTGCTCCCAGGATAACAGCAATAATTGGGAAAAACGCAACATGCTAAGAAAAAAAAGAAAAAAAAAAATCTTCATTTAGGTTTTTAACGTAGTCATTCTTACTTAAAACTGCCTCATAAGGCGTGGAAGATATTGCATATTGTTTTACTTGAGAGATGTGAAAAACAATGCAACTTTTATTCTTTTGTACTCATCTCCTGTATGTGATCTTCAAAGAGTGATTGCAGTCGGAGAGAGAAGAACGGTAGCGATTCAAAGTAGCTTTTTATTTATTTATTTATTTCAATCTTGGGCCTAAAATAAAATTGTTTTTAAAGTTTTGAAGTGTTCAGCTCCTTTTTGGTATTTTCTTCAGAGAAGTTTACAGCAGAGAAGGTAATAATTAGATACTTCTGGTACGTGAGCTGTAGTACTCTGTGGAGCACTAAATGGAAATTGGAGAATTGGCACAGAAGCCAGCTTCAAATTTTACTTTTTTTTTCCAGTCCGGCATTTGTTGTTGAATTTAATTTTAAAAAGATGCTTTGTTCGGCTTTGTCTTAATTTAAGTATAGAGATTTATTCTTAAGATTAAAGATGGGAACAATGGGAAGCAATTGCAGCTTATATACTTACAATCTTACGGAAAGTCAACTTTAAAGTATTTAATACAGCTATTCAAGTATCCTCTTATCATTTGTTTTATGCTAGTTAGTTGTAATTTTTTTCTGTAACATAGATTGTTATAAACCTTGTAAAAAATGCTTATTATCTTTATATATAATTCACTCTCATGAATAAATTGGATTTTTTTACATGAATGAACTATAATATGAAATTTAATGTTCTGACCTCTCTTATGCTAGATTACTGGAAACACTGTGTTTTAGCTTTTCTGAAAGCCCAAGCATATTTTTGTTGTTGGTTTAACGTGTTGTTTTATATTGTAGCTTTTAATTACGAAAAAATAACACTAGATATGTGATTTTCACACTAGTTCTTAATTTATGCAGATGCTGAAGTTCTTGCTGTGTAAAAGAAAAACTTGGGGTTTTTTTTCTGGGAGCTTTCATGGTTAGCATTCTTGTTAATGACAGTCATTTCTCTAACAGGAAGATGTTTTCATTTGTATTTACTTTTCAGTGCAGGGCAATTATGCTGCTCTATGTTGCACACTCTTCGGAGTTTCTATCTCAAAAGAATTACAGTACTTGGAACAGGACTGCAATTTGAGGCAGGTGTTGTGTTTTACTGTTATGCAAAATAACAGTAAAATATAATTGTAAGGGAAATTAAAGAAACAGCTGCAAATTTGATGTGGTAACCACTACATTATGATTTGTGAGCAGTTGTTGCACTTATCTTACATCACATCTAACACAGCAAAGGTTTGGTTTAGTAAAGCTCACCTTGCTGATTTTTACTCCTGAAACTATTGCACTTATTCTTACCAGAGGAGGTTAGTGCAAAGACCAGCTCATAACCTTAGTTAGGGAGATGTGCTGTCTCACTGGAGACTCAGTTTTTAAATGGGAACTTTATGGTTTAGTTTCAGAATTTATTTTTTTTCCCCCAGTGCTAAAGAAGATGAAGGAGAGAACCCAATTACTGCAATGAAGGTTGCAGAATGTCTTAACCCAACTAACATATGGAAGCCTACATAGGCCTGAGGTTGTAAAATAGTAAAATAAATGGCCTATAGCAGGCCATCTGCCATTTGCAGGGCATTTTTATCGTGCTTTATGCCAAACTGGAAATTAGTCTTTGTATTAAAAATATATTTTGAATACAAATCAAAGATTCCAACTGTTTAATGTTACACATGGCAAACACATTTCTATCTGGGAGCTAAAAGAAGTCCAGGAATATCACACTGGAAAAATACTGCTTAGTTTGTTGCCCAGGACTCTTTTCTCTTTCCTTTCTCTGTCTTCCCAGTAAGCACTGGTGTACTTTTGGAAATTACACGCCAGGTATGACAAGTCCTGTATTGCGTGTAGCAACTAAAGGGTGGGGGGATCAAGTCATGTGAAGTGTCATGTTTTCATGTGAGTCCATACAGCGAGCATAGCATACCCCAGCTGAGCATCTACCTAATCAACAGGGCTTTTAGAGAGTTGCTCATCTTGAAAGTATTCTTCAAACATCAGCTGATCAATTTTCACAAAGTCCCTCTGAAAGGAAGGCAGCTGAGGTATCCTCAGTTTATTGATTGAAGAAATTGAAGCTCAGATTCCATGCAGGGAACTCAAGAGAGACCAGGTTTGGGAAGTTTCTGGCTATTGGGTTAACGCTGATGTTATAGAATGCTTTCGGTCTTAATGCAGAATATGTTTAAGAGTGCTTTGAAGAAGTGAAAGATAGGGACGTGTAGAGAGGGCAGAGCGTATGTCTTTCATCTTATGCAGAAATATTTATGCATAAAATCACACTTAAATCTGTCAGATAAATCATTACTGTATGGCAATGAATCCAAACCACTGTCGTTGCTAGTGCACTATAACATGGATATTTTGTTAAAGTTGTCTAGATACCAGCCTTTCTCTGGACAGATTCATAGGTATGTGGGTGTACCTTGTGCTATGCAATTGTAAAATTTTCTGCTTTGCATCAGCTTCTCATCAGTCGCTCAGATGTAACTTATTTTGTAAAGCTAAAACAAGGCCTTGAAAACAAGTGTGTGTATTTGTGGAAAACCATTTGTCCTTCAGGAAACTGGGTCTGTTTGTTAATTTTCATGGTTGCAATTAGCACAAGATGTTATTTGAAATAAAAAAACAGTAAATGTGGAGTATTTAACTGGAGCTTTCAACATAGATTATTCTCCCCCCACCCCCCAAAGATAAAGCCTTATGTTAAGCATTTATCCTTTGGATGTATTTAATGATGATGGAGTTAAATGATGAGGTAATTAAAAAAAATTGTGAATAATAGTGCTTAGAGAGTTGGGTGATGGGTACATCTGAAATGCAGAAAAAGATCTTTGAATGGCAATCAGGAGAGGATAGATTAATATGTCTGCATATATTTCCATCTCTTTTGAGTTCATAGCAGAGTGTGCTTTCTTTCTCTGCTGGCAGAGGTCCGCGGAGTTGATGAGGAGCTGCTGGAAGTTGGGAGCCGCTTGGAACACGATGCCCTACCCCGCTCCTGGCCTTGGGAAGTTGTGAGCTGCTCATGTCCATAAGGAGGAAGGATGGCTCATGGAATTCCTTCACAAGGCAAAGTTACCATCACGGTGGATGAATACAGCTCCAACCCAACGCAGGCATTCACACACTACAACATTAATCAGAGCAGGTTCCAGCCTCCGCATGTGCATATGTGAGTATTCCTGACGCTGCCTTTGTGTGCGTGTCTGCCTGTGCGTTGGCACCCAGAACCGCTGCTGAAGGAGTGGGTTGGAAACTGTAAAAATGGGTTAGTCACATTAGCTGATAGGCAAAATGGTTATCAAATTTCTTACATGGCAGTGTTTGAGAAACACTGCTCCATCATCTCCCGGAGGTCACTCTCTCTGCCCGAGGCGCAGTGCCAGGAAACCTGCCCCAAGGATGACAAATAGGGTCCATTTTCTGCAACTTGTCACTTTACAAATCTCACTTTAACTCGCCTGAGGGACCCATCGCTTTAAAATTTAAGCTCCCTTCCCCCAGCCCTTACACTCAGCTGCGAAATAGGCCTAATTGGGAATTATTGTCCCCCCTGATCACGGAATCCTTTGTCCTCCTGGTTGCGAGTGGGACGTGTGCCGCATTCCACACCCAACCCGTGGCACAAAGGAGCTGGTCGGGGGCTGCCCAGCAATTCCTCCCCAGAAATACAAATACTGCCTTAAAACAACCACCCTGTCCTGAACTTAGACCAACAAAAGCATGGGAAGTGGGGAGCTGAAGGCTTCTTACCTCACCTTCTTGTTCCTGGGCGTTGTATGACCCGCAGGATCATTCCCGTGCACAGCACCCAGGCACAATGGTTTGCGGTGAGAGCTAAGTACCAGCTTTAACTCTGAATTTCCTTCCCATTGTTTACTGAGGTTTGATCTTTATCGGTTATTTCTGTGAAGGTTCTTTTTTCTTTTAACATTAATAGACTGAAAAGCACATGAAACTAAAACAAAGACGACATCTCTCGACCTCCTGTGTGCCATTGTTAGTCAGGATTTTGAACGATGTCACACTATTGAATTTGATAAGGGTTTTGCATAATAAGGGAGGAAAAGTTGTATGGAACTTCATTCCATTTTTGTTATGTAGAAGCTCGCCGGAAGAGTCACAATGTAGGAGTTCAGCACCTTGTAATAGGATTTCATGTGGTTACAATATTCTAAAGGCAACTTTAGGAAGGATCCTGAAGAGTGCCTGTCATGTATGTGACTTTCCAAGGTGGAAAAAGTTTTCATTATTTGCGTATGATTTATTAGTACAACGATGATGTAACTCTTCTTTTAGAAATATTTCCATTTTTTGATTCACTTTTCAGACCTTTTGGCAGCAAATTTCTGTTGCCAGTATTGCACTCCAGGCTACACTTCTGACTGACATTAAATACAAATTCTATGTAGAGACTGAATTCAGAACAAAGAAAAGAAATGTAGGAAGCAGTTTTCAAGAACCCCTTCTTAATGACATTGATTTCAGGGGGAGCTGATGTTATGACCAACTAAGTGTGGTGTTCAACATTGTAAAAAATTTCTGATACTTTGTTTCAAAAACTCACAAACATTTATACAGCCACTTCCTGATAATTTGTATATTTCTTGACTTGACAGATGTCTTAAAAGATCTTTTACTTGTTTGGAGAAATTGCGTAATTGAAATAAATACTGAAACTATAAAGTACAATATAGTGACAGTATTTGAAAGGATTTTTAACTGAAATACTGCAGCCTTCTTCAAATCAGTAATTTGGTTTCAAGGCATACTGGAAGGGAGATCAAAATTTAGAAAAATTGCAAGGGAATTAGTCTCATTACAATGAAAGCAAAGCAGATGATGTTGCAGTGCAGGAGATGAGTTCAGGTGTAGGTCTGGATAGCAAATGATGTGGTTTACAAAACCAATGTCAGGATCCTACCAGGTGTCTGGAGTTATGGGTAGAGGAAAGCAAGGAGGTAAAGATACAGCTATGGCTGTGGGTTTGTGTGATGGTAAGAACAGTTATTTCTGGGGAGGAGAGACTAGAGCATGTGGTAGCTTCAGGGGGGGTCTTTATTTGTCTTCCCAATGTTTGGTAATGGACGCGTTGCACTTACTTCTGAGAGGATGTCATCAAATGAGAAACCTGAAGGGAAAATTAGTAAAAGCAGTATTAACAAAGCAACTATGATCTTTTAACCCCGTTGTATCTGCTAGTGACACATTGCTGCAGCTGCCAGGATTGTTTGATGTGATTTGGTTTTACAGTCTGCTTTTATTTTTTGCTGTCTTAAAGTAATGCATGCATTTTTTTTTTTAAGAGGGAGTTTGAGGAGGTTTTATTCCTCTCTAGTGAAAAATTTATTAAAAAAAATCATGGGATGATGAAAAGCGAGTAAAGCAACACAGGAACTGGGTGTTACGAGATGCATGTGAATAGCAGGGCAATATATTGCTACAGGGCCCTGCTGCATACCATAATTCAGTGGCTGGGTGCAGCTTAAGGACAGTATTCTTTCCTAAAGGAAATAATTTTTTAAAAACTAATTTCTTTATGGATATGCATCTTCACGTGCAAAGGTGAGAACTGGACTCTTGTCTATTTTTGGTTGCAGTATCCTTTGAGCCTGACTCTCACACAGAGTAAATGGAGAGTCTGTGGAATATCACCAGAGTAAACTGGTGGTTAAGGCACTCCAGGCATTACGCTGCCTGTTCCATGGGGCACGTGTCCTGTGCTTTTTCTCCCACTTTCATTTTGTGCCTCTCACATGATAGTGTCATGTAGTTTGATGAGCAGGCATACAGTTCTCTTTTATCATCTTTATATGTATTTTTACACCAGCACTTCCTAGTGCATCCGTTTAAGTGTGCTATCAGGGAAATAACAGTGTATTAAAGCTCCCTTTGCCTGGGCTGGCTGTGACAGGAGTTTTGTCAGTTACTTAGGCTCTGGTATAATATGAATTTTGAATCAGTTTGTCCAGTCTTTGTATTTTGTTTCTTTACTAATAATGTTTGAACAAGTGTTCTAAAGACAGTTTTTAGTGTATGATTATTTTGGATAAAGGGTATCATGTTATATTTTTTGTCATCTTGAAGCAATGCTCCCACCCACAGGTTTCACTTTCTGAGGAAGTTATAAAATGTTTGTTTTTGAATGCTAAGCAATGTTTACCTTACTTTCAGTTAGTTTTAATTAACTGCATCACCTTAGTTCCCTGCTTTAAAGGGCAGCTGCAAAATAATACCAATTATAATGTGCCTGCCTTTGCTTCCTAATGATTATTCTTCTGAAAGTCTTCATATTTTCCCATTTTTTTGTCAGGAATTGTGACTTCAAGAGGCAACTGCACTTTGGAGTAGTGCTGTCAAGTATTATAGGGGGTTTTTTTTAAAAAAAAAAGAAGGGAGGGGGGAAAAAAAAAGAAAAGCTTGTAAGCCTTGATGTTCTGTGTGAGGCCACGGTCAGCGGTGCCAGGGATCCCTGTGAGCAGCAGCAGCGGGATGCAGCCTGGGGACAGGAGGAGCTGGCAGCCAGGGCAGGTGTGCTTTAAGCTGCAGAAGGCTTCATCCTGTGAAACTGCAGCCTCCAAGTAGAGAGGAGAGAGAAAATTTTTAGCATCGTAAGCAAACAGTAGGAAAAAAGTAAAAATGGCTAAACTTAAAAGATAATTGAATTCATCAGGTATATTCATCCTTTGCTTTGGGTGTTCTCTCTTTCTTTGTAAGACTTTTTTTTTTTTTCTTCCTCTTTTAACTTTGTAGTTTTATAGCAGCCACCACAGTGGGACTTTAAGCCATTTTAATTTAACAGGAATTACTAAGGCTAAGTTTTGTGGAACCTTTCTGTCTCACCCATTTTTTTTCACCTCCCTAGTCCAGTGGAAAGGAGCTGAGGAGAAAACTGAACAAATCCAAATGGAAAATTACTTACTTGGGTTTTAACCAGAGAAAAAAAATCTTCCTGTTGGGGTACAACACACCATTTACTTTCACAGGGAAAAAAGAGAGAGAGTGAAATAAACTTTGTGTATCTGTTGTGGAAAATGCCTGTTTTGTCAGTCCCAGCTGGTGAGGACGAGGGAGTTTTGTGGAGATAAACGAGCTGTAGCCCGAGCTGCTGCAGGCTGAGCCTTCTGGAGGAGTTCATTAGCTTTCCTCTGGTCTGACCAGAGTGGCTTGTTTTTAGGATACAGGTTAAAAGTCTGGTATGGTTTAAATTCAGTAGTAGGGGAGAAGGAAAGATAGAGGTTTCTGTGCCAGGGCAAAAGTTTTCTAAATGAGTTTATGCATACCTGGAGATACATTGAACAATCTGTGACTATATAATTTTACTGCCTTTTCTGTACTGGAGTAATTCCCTGTGTGAATATTCTTATTTTAAAACAAAGAGTATAAACAGTGTTTTGTATTAGTAGAATACATGTCTAGTTGAATAAAATATTTAAATATATGAGTGTGTGTAAATGTGTATATATAATAATAACAGTAATAAAAATATAGCAATATAATCACAGAAGAAAAAATTTTCAACTGTGACGAAGCTTTAAATTGTTAAAACCCAGAGATCTTAATAGACTACTAACCTTGAGAAACAGGATCTTGCATATTTCTTTTTTCTTGGGGAAACTGTCCTGCATTTAATGGGTTTTATAAACTCCCACTGAGATTAGTGGGAAATCATGCATTTGATTTGTAATATTCTCAACTTTTGTTTCATATAAGGTGTGTGATATTTAGGGGGAGGAGGGATTCTGGCATTAGCAGAATATGGACTCATTTGACATTTACAGAATAGTGGAGTTCGTACGTGTAATAATATTGGTTGAGAGAATACAGAGATTCACTCTTAAGCTAGTTAGCTATACCTAGTGCAACTGGGCAGGATGGCTGTTTCAGTTCATACTGATGTGATAGAAGATCATAGTTTTGGTGGAAATTGTTGCTCTGTTTATTGATAACACTTCTTACAAAACCATACGTAGCTCATGACTACCTGAGTTCCTTTTTACTACTTATTTTTCTAAATAAATTGAAACAATCAAGTTACATTTGAGCTCTAATAATGAAAACATGAATGCATTAAACGAGTGTAGTTAAAACTTGAGCCTTACTTTTGGACATAGGGATTTTTTTACTGGGGTCGTGGCTCACAGTTATCTTACCTTTGTGCAGTTGTAGTCT